AATAAAACCACAATGAACACACCTAGAATGGGGGAAAAACCAACACTGATAATATCAAAATGCTAGATGGGGTACTATTGGAACACTGCTGGTAGAAACGCAAAATGGTGCAGCCACATTGAAAAACAATTTGTCAGTTCCTTTGAAATTAAACATACTCTGACCATACAACCCAGCAACCCCACTCCAGGTATCTACCCAAGTGAAGTATAAACCTGTGTTCATACAAAAACCTGTGTACAAATATTTGTAGCAGTATTATTTAAAATGACCAATAACTGGATGCCAACCTGAATGTCCTCAACTGGGATATGGATAAACAAATTGTGGTTCGCCCTTGCAATGGGATCCTACTTTGCAATAAAAAGCAACAAACTACTGATGATACACCCAACACACACCAACTTTAATGCATTATATATTAAGAAAGAAGCCATATTGTATCATTCAATTTTTATAACATTCTGGAAAGAGCAAAACTGTAGAGGGGGGAAAAAACAAGTTAGTGTTTGCTAGGAGCTGAACATGAAGCGAGGGGATGAGTACCAAGGGACATGGGGAAACTTTAGGGGATAATGAAATGCTTCTAATCATAATTACAGTGGTGGTTACAAATGCCTATGGCTTTGTTAAACTCCCAGAACTTTCCACTGAATAGAGTGAATTTTACTCTATGTAAATCAGACCTTACTTTTAAAATGGAAATAGAGAGGCCGGCCAAGTGGCTCAGTTGGTTAAGAGCACAAGCTCTGAGTAACAGGGTCGCCAGTTCAATTCCCACATGGGCCAGTCAGTGAGCTGCACCTGAGCTGAGCTGCCGCTGAGCTGCCAACAGGTGGCAGGATGGCTCAGCTGATGAGAACAAGTGCTCCTAACAACAAGGTTTCCAGTTCGACTCCTGCATGGGATGGTGGGCTACACCCACCCACAACTAAAATTAAACTGGGCACTTTGAGCTGAGCTGCCTGGCGCCTGGATGGCAACTGGACTTGGAGTTGAGCTTGCTGCGCCCTCCACAACTAAGATTGAAGGACAATAACTTGGCTGTTCCCCTTCCCCAATTCCCCAATAAAATCTTTAAAAATAAATAAAATGAAAATAGAAACAGAAAACTATAATACTAAATTATTTTGTACAAAAAGCCTAACGATACACATTTTTAGTGATTTTGACAAATGCTTCCAATTGTTCCTCAAGAAACGTTGAATCCAATTTATACCTCCTCTCTGAGAGAAACTGAGAATGTTGGGTTCTTATACCCTCATCAGCACTGCTACGACAGTGATGGCACTTTTCAGAATGCCTCACTCAGTGCGGGGCACATGGCAGAAGCTGAATAGCAGCAGCATTGATTCCAGGCACATGAAGTCCCCCCAGGGAGGACATCCCCTCTCCTGCCACCATTTACTGTGCTGATGGAGGAAAGAAAGGAAGGAAGATATCATGTGTGTTGAGAGGTGAGATAGCCTCTGAACTCAGGGCTCTGAGGACTGAGGGAGAAGTGTGGAAAAGGAAGCGCAGATGAGGAAAGCATAATAGGTCTTCTGGGAGCTGAGAGGACTAAAGTGACAACTGTATGTCATCCTTGTATCCCCCCCGTTCCCCGACCCAACACCTAACACCACGCATAGCACGTAAGATTGTAAGACGGGACAAATGAACAAATGAATAAGTTCAGAGACTTGCTGGGGTCAGCAAAGGTAAAATTTCCTTGGTTTGGGACTTGGAGGCTCCAACTCAATTTAAGACTGTGGCCGTACAACTTGAGAACTTTTTATTCTGAGCCCCATCAAAGGAGAAGAAACTTGGCATAGGTGAGTAGAGGGAGCACACATCGTCATGGGGCTCCAAACACAGCTCCTGGCTGTCAGAAGTGTATCCTTCTGATTCTCAGCCCTGGGGACTAAGTGAAGGGTGGGGTCGTGGGCCAAATGCTGGGTCATTTCAGCTGGAGCCGGGCGGCTGTATAGGCGAGATAGGGTTGCAGGAGAGGAAGTTGAGTGGGCATGCCTGTGTGCTGGCGGAGGGCCAGAGCTAGAGGAAGAGGGGCTGGGGGTTGGGCGTTTGGAGAAGAGGTGGGGGAGGGGAAGATCTGGTGCTGCTCTAGGAAGCCTGCAAGAGGGAGCAGAGTATCCAGACAGCTGGTAGGTAAGTAGGCAGGACAGTAGGACAGGTTAAGAGAAGGATAAAGCTAAGGAGACGTGTTAGTAGTGAAAAGGAGAGGCAGCCTGTGTGTGTGTGTGTGTGTGTGTGTGTGTGTGTGTGTGTGTGCCCCCACATATGAGAGCATAGGGGCCCCTCCCTGAACTGAAGCCTTATGCTCTGAGTTTACAATCTGCTTCTTTTTCACCCCTGTCACTCTAACCATGACAAAAGTAAGATTGCATATGAGCATGTAGGGGGGTTATTTGAACATGAGTGTAAGCATGAGTGACAGCTCTGACCAGCCCAGCCCAAAGTCTGAGAGAGAGAGAGAGAGAGAGAGAGAGAGAGAGAGAGAGAGAGAGAGAGAGAGAGAGAGAGAGCGCCAGAATGAATGCATTTGGTGAGGGATGAATGAATGAACGTGAGTTTATAAGGAATTCCTTGTGAATGTATGTTCGTGAAAAATGGAGTATTCAAGATGCCTTGCCCCGGCCGCATAGTCCCTACTCCTGGGTCTCTGAACCTACAGGATTCCAGGGAAGTCTGTACTTGAGGTTCTAGAAACTTCACACCAGCCCCTAGAGAGATCCCTGGTCTCTGAATAGGAGACACACCTATTGTACCAGTTTCCAGGAGGGAACCCAGAGAGCATCTGGCTCACGGCGTCTTCTGACCCTGTGAGCCCTCCCGGGGCTGGGGGGCCCAGACTGGGTGGAGCGGCCACACCTGCCTGAAGTTTCGAGGAAGAGGGCGGAAACTGCAGCCGGCACCGCCCTCTCCTAGGCTCAGTGGGCTCCTGCGGTCTGCCGGTCACAGTGGGTCCCGTGACTTCTTCACTTCCCTAAATGGGCAATTTCACTTTCAGAGGCCCAGGTTCTTCCCGGGCAGACAAAAGTAGCCAACCCTGCATGGACCTGGGGCCCTAATCTTGGATCCCAGGGGTGTCTTGGCCCCCTGCTGGCCTGTGACTCTCCCCAACTGGATGGAGCCATGGGTCCCAGATTCCTGCTGCTGCTGCTGCTGCTGCTGTGGCTCAAGGGCTACATCTCAGGTGAGAAGGTAGATGGGCTGGCTAGGGGGGAGGGAATGGCCTTTTCCTAGACCTTCCCTCCCTGCGTTTTCCTGCCCAATGATCTTGTTTAATATTTTATGGAGTTGGAGGAGAGAGAGAAGGAGGTTGGGCTAACCTAAGTAGCTCCTTACCAGAGACCAATGAGAATGTCCCATCCTAATACCTGGCCTCAGACAAAGCTCACCCAGACCTTACAAACTAAGATAAAGCTCTGGACCCTCTCTGCCTGGGGCCTTTTATCTGCCAGGCTTCCTCAGGACCTCTGACCAGAGACACTCAATTCCGCACACCAAAAGCCTTCTTCTCTTGGCCTCTATCAGGAAAGCCCTGCTTGGTTGTTCGGGGAATCATTGCATCATGTATGTGCACTTGGAACTCACTTTTCTTCAGAATGCTGATGCCACTACACCAGTCTTGAGGGGAAGCAATCCCTGAAGGTCCCTCCCACCCTACAGCTGCTAAAGCTCCTTGAGAGGACCTCACCCAATCCTGCCTTCTTTGCTGCCATGGCAACCAAGTTACCACTTCCTGCCCAGTTCTGAGCACGGTGGGTGGGGTTTGGCAAAACCCACTCCTCATCACTTGTGAGAGGGGTGGAAGGTGGACTGTTTTGAAGGTTACCCCACCCATGCCCCTCCCCCAGAGAGGCCCCTCCCCCAGAGAGGGCAGAACAGTGTTTCCTGTGCTGATCTCTCCAGGGGTCCCCCAAACCTCCCACCCACCAAATAATTGAGTTGGGTCATTCTGTTCAGTTTGCATGAGACAAAGTGATGCTCGCAGAGGGTGTTACCTTATTCCAAGCCTTAACTATAGTGGCAGCTGGGCTGGAAACTGAGGCAGACATCAGGCCCTTGGTTATCACAGTTTTGAGCTGCAATGGAAAAGTCTGGAGCAACCTGCATTTGGGAAAAGGAATCATACATTGAGCACCTACTATATCCAAGGCACTGTCCCGGGGCATGGTTCTCAAAGCCAACCTGAGACAATGAAGAAACATATGTTAAGTGATCTGTCATGGGGTTAGTCAGTGGCAGACCCAGAGTTTTAACCCATGTTTATTTAGACTCCAACTTGTGTGCTCTCTATTTTGTCCTACTGGGGAGTAATGTGTGTATGTGATTGTTTGCAGAAGGCTCTGGGGGTATTGAGGAGGGGTGGAGGGACCGTACCCCAGCTTTCTCCCTCTCCCTGTCCCCTGATTCACCACACCTGACCAAGCTCTACTCCCCCTCCCCCCAGACTGTGGATTATGAAGTGCACAGATCACATTTCTTTCCTACGCATAGAGTGCAATGTATTCACAAATGAACAGTGAATAATTGTAGAATTTTTTGATTTGCACTCTGTTGGGAGTTTATGTGCACTTTGGGGCGTATTTAATCTATGCAAGTAGGATATTTTAAAATTAAACACCACCTAGAATGAACTAAGACAACTTGCTATTTAAAAGGTGTCTAGTGAACCTATTTGTGAAATAAATAACTACTCTTGTTTTTTTTCAAAAATGAAGATCAGGTTTTCTTATCCACCTAAGTTGCTTGTGCTCTGGAATTTCATAGCTTGATGACTTGGGTTTGTGTCTGTGCAGTGTCTCACTGAGAGCAAGTCCTGGGTCTTTCCCACAAGACTCTGAAGATGGGGTTTAGCACTCTCCCATCGAGCTACAAAATACTGTGAAGAAAGGGGCTGCATCTGATGGGGCTCCCTGACTGTCAGGCCTGAGTCTCCTTTATTAGACTGGGGGCTCCCTGAGGGCTATGCCCTTGTCTCCACCATAAGATTGGGAGTGCCCTGAGGGTGAGGCCTGTGTCTCCCCCCCCACTCACACTAGGGGGAGGTCCCTCATAGTAGGGCTGTATTTCCCCCTCAGACTGTGAGTCCCATGACAGCAGAGCAGTCTCCACTTTTTCTCCCTTCACCACGGGCTTCAAGTTGCAAGATGCCTCCTTCCTCCTTTCTTGCCAGACCTTGCTCAACAAGTCGTGTCTCCCCAGGTGCCTCTGCCGAGAGCGTGTACTCCAAGGTGCAGCATTTTGAAGGGGAGACTCTGTCTGTGCAGTGCTCCTACAAGAGCCGCAAAAACCACGTGGGGGGTAAGGTTTGGTGCAAAATCAGGAAGAAGAAGTGTGAGACTGGGTTTACCCGGGTCTGGGCACAGGGGCCACGCTATTTGCTGCAGGACGACGCCCAGGCCAAGGTGGTCAACATCACCATGGTGGACCTCAGGCGCCAGGACTCGGGCCGGTACTGGTGCATGCGTAACAGCTCTGGGATCCTCTACCCTCTGATGGGCTTCCAGCTGGAAGTGTCTCCAGGTGAGCAGGCCTGCTGGGGCACTGGGATGGTGGGGCATCTCCTCCCTGCCCTGCACTCCACTAACATCAGATATAATAAGAACAATAACCCGTTAATGGGCATGTGGCACAGTAGGGTTTTCACCATTCTTTTATAGACATCTTCATGAACATTATTGCCACCATTTGATAGATGAAGAAAATGACATCTCAAAAGCCATTACATGCCTCTGACCTTGTTCAAGTTCACAGAGCTAGCAAGTGGCAGAGATGAGATTCAAACTCAGGACTCTCTGTCCTTTGTTTTATTCAGTCATCTGTTCCATATGTATTCACTGAGCCCAAATTATGTGCCAGCCACTATTCTAGGCTCTGAGGTTACAGTGGTGAGCAAAAACAGACTCAGTTTGACCTTATGGGCGATGACAGGCAGTAGCACATCATCAGATGGATAATTGTAGATAACAATAAATGCTCTTAAGAAAATAAAACAGTGTGATAAACTAGAGAGTAATTCAGTGGTAGGAGGAACTGCCGAAGCACAGGGGTTCAGAGAAGACCTCTGTGAGCAGATGACATTTAGCAGAGCCCTGAATTATGAGAGCTTTCTAACCCTGTTGAAATGTGGGTATTTCAAGTTGCATTCCAGGTGGGGAGAACTGCATGTGCAAAGGCCCTGAGGTGAGAAGGAGCTGGACCTGTATAAGGCAGGCCCGTGTGGCTGGTCCAGACTGAGTGTGGGGCCGAAAGATAGGAGAAGGTTAGAGAGTCACATAGCAGCTCTAAAGTCCATGATATGGAGTTTGAATTTTATTCTAAGTATAATAGGGAGCTATTGAAGAGCCTAGAGGGGTGTATTGTGGCTTATCTTCAGGACAATAATGGCTGCTGTGTGGATGGGGTGTAGAAGGGTAAGAACATGGGCAGAGAGACCACTGTGGGCATCCTGGCTGGAAATGACAGTGTCTTGGAGTAGGGGGTGGGCCCTGAAGGTAGAAAGACGTGGAGAGGCTCAAATCTATGACAGCCAGGCTTCCTGCCCACCCTGTACGTTTTTGAGGTAAGACAGGATTTACTAATGTGGGAGGTGAGCAAAAGTGAGAAATCAAGGATGACTCCGAGGTGTTCTATTTCATCAGCAAGGTGGATGGTGGTTACCATCCCGAAGAGGAGCTAGTCTGGCGGAGAGAAATGAAGGACTCTATTTGTGTCATGTTGAGTTTAAGATACTTTAGAACTTCAAGTAGAGAAATGAAGCAGGCCGTTGATGTATCAGCCTGGAGCCCAGGTGACAGGTCAGAGCTGGGGATGTATTTGAAAGTATCTTAGTAAAGACAGTTTAAAGTCAAAGGGATTAGAGACATCTATAGAGACAGAAAGTAGATTAGTGGATGCTCAGAGCTGGAGGGAAGGCAAGGGTAATAGGGAGCTAATGGCTAAAGGGTGAGTGATTTCTTTTTGAGATGAAAATATTTTCTAAAATTGACTGTGATAATGGTTGCATGAATCTGAGTATCCTAAAAACCAATGAATTTGACACTATAGATGGGTGTGTTATATGGGATGTAAATTAAATTATATCTCAACAAAGTACTTAAGAAATCAAGGAGATATGAAAGCTCTCCTTTGAGAGCAGAAAAAGACAGGAGGGCCTGTAGAAAAAGACAAAAGAAGGGCCGAGGTCCTCCCATGTTTATATATGGGATAGGGTGAAGGGCCAGTGAAAGAGCCTGAAAAACATAGCCGATGATTATGAAATTCATTATCAACCCTTTCTGGTTCCCCTTATCCAATTGCATTCCCATCTTCTGCGGGGTCTGAACTAGGCAACTGTCTAGTTCATGTCTAAGATGTGGAGCCAAATCTCATTCCTCCATTCTCTAGTTCAGATTTAGACCAGGAAAGTAGTTGAAACCAGTTTGTTGAAGTCTTAATTTGAACGACTACAAATATGAAATGGTTAGCATTATCCCTCCATTGTACCATGTCAAATCTCACTTTCTGTCTCTTAATGACAATTTGGGAGAGATTCCAACTTTGCAGGCCTTCTCAGATATTAGGAAATAAAAAGTCCTCGGCCCAATTAACAACTCAAATCTTTTAGCAATATGTGCTCTCTTCTACTCCCCCTTAAAGACCAGGTGTCATGGCCCAAGGCACCTGAAGTGGGGAAGTGGGCATAGCCTGCTGCCTAACTCCCACTCCTCCACCAGGAGGTGGGGAAGAGGGGGTTCCTCTTGGTCACCTTTTTCTGGTCCTCCCCCTCCAAACTCCTTGGTATACTGGAGCAGCCATGAAAGAGGAGCAAATGGTTGTGTGACTTCGCTGACCCTTGTAGGAGTTCTCTTTCTGTTGGATGTCACTCATTTGCTGCCCAACCCTTTGAGATCCTCTGTGAAGTGGGTTCCAAACTCTGGCTCTCCCAAAGCACCTATGTGTGAAGGGTCCTTTGGGGGGGTCTCTTCACTGCTGAATAGGATGATGTGGGAGATTGGGCTCCAGGTCAGCCTCTTCCCCTATGCCCACCCTCACCAGTGCCACTTGTTCTGGGTTCCTTGCCCAGAAAAACGCGCACCTTCCCTGGTGACCACCTGGCCTTCAGGAACGCATCACTGCCACGCACAATCCCAAGATGCAGCAGCCTCTCTTCCCCGCCCCTCCCCCCATCTCTCTCCAATTTTCTTGTTCCCTGTGGAAAAAGACCCAGCACTGCCCCTTAGGTTGCACCTCACAACTACAACTCCCTTCTCCCTCACCATCCATACACTATCCTTTTTCTAAAAAATGGAATGGCAAAGGGCTAGTTTGATGGACAAGGGTAGCAGAACTGGTTTGGGTATCTCTTAGAAAACCCCCAAGCTGCTTGTGGCATTCTTTGGAATCTGGGCCTTTGCGCCTCATCCTCATCTCTGGACCCCAGTTGCTAATTATGGAGCAGCTGGAAAAGTCCCCGTTCAGCATCTGAGTAGAGAAATCTCTTTGACCCCCAAGAATAAGGAGGGTCTGGAAGCGACAAGAGAGAGATGGGGATGGGGAGGGGCGTGTCCTCTGGGCCCAGGAGGCCTCGCAGGGGAGACTACAGAAATTGTGGAAGGTTTTTCCTTCTTTATTGTGCCTACTTCCCTCTGACATCACCCTCTGAACAAACACACACCTGACCACTCAGCACAGCTGAATATGGGTCCAAGGTGAAGGAGGGGAGATGAGGAGAAGCCCCACCCACCCCTGCATCCAGACAGCCGTGTAGGTTGCCAGGAATCTGCTTCAGCACTGAGGCCCCCAACTCAGTCTAACGTTCCTCCCTCTCTGGTCCCTCAGCCCCCACAACCAAAAGAAACAATCCTCTTACACAGCTGGCCAACATCCTCAAGAGTGGAATTGCCGTGACAATGGGCCAAGCCCCTACCTCAGGCCCTGGCGCCCCTTTTACCACCAGTGTGACGATGTTCACACCTGGGGTCCTCACCCTTGCCAGACTCTTGCCCTCCGCTGCCTCAGGGACCATCAGACTGACCTCCTTGACAGGATACGGCTTCACCAGCCCCTCCAGCCCAGAGCCCAGAAGGACCACGGGGCTCCAGACTGTGACTGCATCTCCCAGCAATACCAGAGCCTCCTCTGCTGGCCCAGCAACCATCTTCACCACAGCTGGGCACCTGCCCACCAGATCGCCCACCACGAGCATGTGCCATACCAGCAGATCTCCCCTTGACAAATTACCCCCTATCAGGTACCTGTGGGACTTGGGGTTGAATGATATTTTCCCAGGCATGGCAAGAGTTCTTGATGCCTGAACAGGTCTCAAGGTGCAAATGTTATAGCAGACCCCCCCCCCCGTTTTTGCCCCCTGGAAAGTCAGTCTGGCCTGTTGCTGAATGGGAGGCAGGGGACTTGAAGATGGGATGGAAATGTGACATAAAGGATGTCAGTGGGAAATTAGGGCAAGGGACGGGTCAGCATAAGGGTTTGCATAGAGAAGAGAGGGGAGGGACAGGACCAGGAGGTGGCTTGGAGAGCAGGAAGTAGGAATTGGGGGATAATCTGATTTGGGTTCCCCCAGAAGCAGACTCTGAGATCAGGATTCATGTTGTATTGGGAACACAGGGGAGAGCGTGGAGAAGTGAGACCGGGGATGGGAGGCAGCGGGTAGGGTACTTAATCAAGCCGCTACCACCGTCGGCAGCAAGAGTTCAGTCCCACTGGGAAAACTCTGGGGTCCTGTGTCAAGCAGCCACCTGAGGGACAAGGGAGCTGGGGTATTTATATACCCACTCCTGCGGGTCATCGGTAGAGGGCTGCCTGCCATGTGTGGCATGGAGGGCACCAGTGATAAGAGAAACTCCTTAGGCAAAAGATATTTAAATGAAGGTGCTGACAATGCGTGTACATGGAAGTGATACAAGCAAGAGACACAAGCCGGGTATCTATAGCATCTGTTACAGAGGATGAAGGTGGGAAGACATCCTCTGTCACTAAGGAGGAGAAGAATCTTGGTCTCTCCCATCACAAATGGGCGTCTCAGAGTCCTTGTCCTCAGAGTGGAGACTAATGGAGGAGAGGTGCTCCCCTCCACCTGGGGACTTCCTCCCCTGAACTCTGAGCCCCTCACTCTGCTCCCCCATGCCTGGGTCCCCAAAGAAGAGAGGCCATCACTCCCTGCAGGGGCTCTCAGGGTTTCCCCTGGTCTGACTCCTCTTGTATTAGGCATGCAGGAAGACGTGGGTCAGGGTGGGGGAACCTGGTACTCACCACCCCACTCTGTCCCATCTCCTCAGGAACCAGGATTCTTATCCCATTGTGCTCTTGGGGGTACTGACCTTCCTCTCAGTGCCTGTGATGTTGATCGTGGTCTATGGGTTCTGGAAGAAAAGACACATGGGAAGTGAGTAGAGCCCAGCCTCCCAGATTCCCGAGGGCAAAGTACTGGGGGGTTTGGCACACTCGCCAAAGTGCCTGACTGCAGTCGGTCCCCAGGCAGTATGTCCCTGCCTGCATCCCGTGGGCCACCCAGGTAAGGGAGGAGGGTGGGCAGGCAGGGACAGTACAGCGTAACCCTCCAGGGCTGACCTGGCAGGAAGTGGAGGTCAGAGCCAGAAGAGGGGCTGGATGAGCCCGGAGCTTGGGGGATGAGGGGCAGGAGCCCTGTCCCTCATCTCTCTCCCTGGTCCTCACAGGCTACAGTGTGTGCAGGGGTCCTGCTAGACACCGGAAGGACCCACTAGATGGCCGGAGCCTCCATGGAAGCCAGCTTGGTCTAAAGCCATGTATGGAGTGGGGGAGCTTCTCCCAGAGGGGCCCCAGGAGACCAGAGGAGGAGTGAAGATGGGGACCTATCTGGATTGGAGCCAGGTTGAGGGGTGAGGACGTGTGCAGAGCTGGACTCAGGCCTTTCCAGAACCAGAGACTGCACTTTACCTGCACAGTCCCGCTGGACTACCAGGAACCTGGGGAGGGACCCACAGTGAGGGACACCAGGCAGTAAGTCCTGGGGGAAGCCACCAAGGGATTCTGCTCAGAGCCACAGACCCCCGGGTCCCCGCTGGATGACAGAGAAGCCCTGATGATGCTGTTTACAGACAGAGAGCCTCAGCTTCCTTTGGCCTCAAACCCCACTATTAAGCTGAAGGGAGTCGGGGTGAAGGGTGGACAGCTGCCCTCTCCCCACCAGGACCCTGTGTCCTCAGCTCCCCTTTGCTCCCCTATGCACTTGGAAAAGAAAGTGTCCAGAGGCAGTGGATGTCTCAGCGGCCTGCCCTGGAGGAGAAGGAACAGTGATTAAGAATTGGGGGTCCACAGAGGAATCGGTAGCAGGGGACCCCAGAGCTGCCCAAGCCCTCACCATCCCACGCCATGCATCCTCTGAGCCACTCCTGGATATGCCCTGCTCTGGGCAGCTATTGGTCCCTTAAGTCCACAGTCTCAGTGCTGCCACCTGTTGACTGGCCTCTCCTGGGAAAGCTGTGACAGAGCCCCTGAGAGCCCCCATCAGCTGCAGGACAAGCTGGTCCCCAAAATGGGCCTCAGAGGCTGAACTCAGGGCTCTCTCCCCCAGTTTTGACACTGGGACTCCAGGTCTGAGCTCCTGAGGGTCCTCCAGTGTCCACTAAAGGGAGGACCATGGCTTCAGTGGTCCTGAAAGGGGAATCACCACCTCCACCCCCGCTGCCAGGGGTTCATTTTCCCTTGGGAAGAGAGAAGCCGCTTGTGACACAGCTAAGACAACTCAGCTGACCACAACCTGGAGAACTGCCCTGTGGGGGTGGGGCGGGGCGGAGTGGGGAGGGTGGAGCCCAGGGGCCTGAGGAGCCTGCCCCTGCCTCACAGGCTCATGGTTCAGACTTGGCCCCTTCTGCAGCAAAGGCTGGAGAATACGGGCTGGATTCCTCCCCTGGAACGGTGGTCCACCAGCCTGGAGTCACCGGAATAAGCACCTGGAGATAGATGTGGCATCTCCACTCTCGGCCCTGAGTCAGGGACCTCCCAGGTCGAAGAGGAAACATCATAGTCAGGAGGGTGACACAGCTGGATCCTTGGTGGGGCCACTACAGGATGGATATGGGGACAGAGGAAGGGGCAGGGGGTATCTTAGGGGACAGCAGGGAGGAGGCACCTCTCCCCTCTGTCCAGGAGAGGGCACTAGAGGGGAGACTCAGGCTGAGGAACTGACTGGCCGGGTGCCAGGACTCTCTCTCTCTCTCTCTCTCTCTCTCTCTCTCTCTCTCTCTCTCATCTGTCCTCCCTAGCAGGAGGGGTGGCCACCAGCTGGTGTGTAACTAGGAGAGATCTTAACTCACCTGGGAGAAAATAGCTCCCCAAGAGCTCACTTACTTCCACCCTGATGGCTCTGCCTCCTTGGAAAGCAAGCTGTCTGGTTGGAGAGCCCTACAGAGGGCTCAGGACTGGGACTCAAGGGCGCCACTTGTCCCTGTGTGACCCTGTGCAAGTCACTAACCCTACCGGACCTCATTTTTCCTCTTGTGAAAGGGGACACTAATTCCTACCTCAAGACTGTTTTCAGAATAAAATGAAAGAACGTGAACCTTATAGAACTGAGTAAGTGCCTTGTGATTATTGGTCCTTTTCCAGTTCTAACATTGTTTGTCACATTCTACTTTTAAGAACGTTGGACTCTATTTCTGTTTTGTTCTCAATTGTAAGGGAGTAGGACGGGAGAAGGGGGACATGGTCCCCAGGTGGTGGGTGCTGGCCCCAGGCTGAGGCCTCATCCATGCCCCGATGTCAGGCAGGACAGCTGTCAGGGCGACCACCATCCCTGTTGGCCCAGGTTGAGGGTCTTCTGGGCCCGGGCGGGCCCACATGTGCTGCCCACTCATGGAGCCTGCTCCCACACGAACTCCATGGTGAGGAAGACACAGGGCGCTGAGAAGGACGTGCAGACCCTGTGCCCCAGCTCCCAGCTCCTCGGGGCCTGGGTGATCTCTTCAGACCCCCAGGCCTCTGAGACATTTCCCCCCAAAGCCTAGGCTCTCATTTTTCCTTCCTCTTCTCACTCGTGTTCCTGGAGCTCCAGGGGAACCCAGATCCCAGCAGATCCAGAGCAGGGAGGTACAAGGCAGGCAAGGGCTTGACACAGGCTGGGGCTGAGGTTGTTTTAGTGAACGAGACCACCAAGCTCCTGGAACAACAGGCTGAGAGGAATACACCTGTGAAGAGTTTCCTGTCTGACTGAGGGAAAGAACAAAGAAAACCAGGCACCCAAGCAATGTTTGGGATGTTCGTTGGTTTGGCTCAGGCAGACCTGACACCCCTCCCCCGGATGCCAGCAAGCCAGCCTGAGGGTCACAGTTCTCCCAGATGGCTGTAAAATGTAGTTTTCACTCTGGATCAAACTAAGCTGGTGGATGTTCCACCATAATGCCCAGCTCCTCCGGCAGGACTGACGGACTTTTTACCTGGTGCTGGGAGCAGTGAAGGTAGAAGCCCTCACAGACCCATTTCCAGGGCAGCCCACCGCCCCTGACTGGGACACAGGGGATGAAGGACCTGGTACCCCCTGCCATCTTGGTAAGTCCTGAAGGACAATCTGTCTTCAGAACACCTCACAGGGTGGCCTGAGCTTCCTGTTGGCCGGAGGCCAGCCCCACTTCTGCAGTCCTGCTTCCTGTCTTTGTCTTCCCCAGCCTGGTCCCCAAGCACTTTAAACCTCTGTGCTAATCTCCACCTCAGAGTTTGCTCCCCACAGACCCAAACCCAGCCTGCCACATTGCATGCTTACAGGGTTTTCTCTTTTCTTTGTTGCTTGTCTGTTAACTATAAGCAGCCTGTGACAATTGCTTTTCTGTAGCTCATCTAATGACAAATTAGTTTTTAAATGTGTTTGATTAGTGGTCTTTCAACAAATGCGTATGGAGTGATACTGGCAAGCTGGGGGCTGGGGACACAGGGGTGACTTGGGGGCAGAGGCCCCCTTTCTCCTCCTCCTTCTTCCTGCCCTCCTTCTGCACCTATCTCCCCTCCCCACGCTCCCTTCCCCCCGATGGTCTACTTTGCTCTCTCCCACCCTTGCTTGTCAAATGACACCAATATCCTAATTGCTAACTGGATCTCACAGCGAAGGGGTAATGGTAAGGAGCTGGAACCAAGACTGGTTAAAGGAAGGATGCAGGAGAGGTGAGCACAGGTCCCAAAACAGGGGCTCAGGAGACCAGGTAAGGGACAGCAGCCAGAGCGGGGAAAGAAGCAACGTCTAAAGACATCATCAGCATTCCTGCTTTACTGATCAGGAAGCAAGTTCAGAGCTGGGATGACATGGCTTGACTGCACGGCCTTCAGGGCAGAGCCCTTGACCATGGGCTGCCTCCTGGCCAGCTCAGCAGGGGTAGAGGTCTGCCCTGACAACAGGCATGGAGGCGGGAGGGGAAAGGTTTCGCCGCAGGCTGGCTCTGACTTTCCTCACCTGGCTGGTCCTTATTCCCAAGCCCCCCAGGCCACTGGAATAGCATCTGCAGCGTGACGGTAGCTGTCCTGCTGCTGATGCTCATCTTACTCGTGATCCTGTCCCTCAGGAAAGTCCAAGGAAGAACCAGGACAGGTAAACCCACCACTGGCTCCAAGCAGACCATGAAGTGCTTAGCCACACTAAGGCACCCTCTAGCCACAGGGACAGGCTTATTATGCCCATTGTACCAATAAGGAAACCGAGGCACAAGAGGTGAAGCAGCCAGGGTTCCCTGGGCTCTCCAAATGGACCCTCCCACTTTGCCAGAGCGGCAGACAGGCTGGGTGGTGCCGAGGACAGACCAGTTCTCTTCAGAGGCTCAAGGTCAGCTAACCCAAGGCAATTCGACTCAGTGCCAGTTTGCCTAAAACTGGGTATTCTAGTATCCATTGGGGATCATATATTTTGTCATCTTTTTATAGTTTGGGATTTTAAAAAACAAATTTATCTCAAGACTTTTCTGGTTGCCAATGTATCGTTTTTTAATTGTTGCTAACCTGTTTAAATTTTGTCTTCCTATAAGCACTTGAAGGACTGCTCAAATCTTCAAGTTCTGCGTTTTTAGCATTACTCCCATGGAAAATCTACAGCATTTTAAGCAAGATTTATCAGATTAGTGCCTTTTGATGACTCCTACTTTGTTTTCTGTTGCTTGGTTTGCTCAGCGCATATGTGCTCTGTGTTTATTAACCACATAGCCCAGTGATGTGTCTATTGACAAGAAGAGTGAACTATAGAAGCGGGTCAAAGTTATATTAAACCACATTGATTTTCATTTTTCAACCTATAAAAATCCCCAAGTAGTAGTGCATTGTAAAATTTTATATACAGATTTTTCACACTGTGTAAAATCAATTTAGTGGGCCACAATTGTATTTTTATAAAACAAAACAGAAAAGCAAAATGTTGAAATTCTTTGCACATTGGAAAGATAATTTTTCACTGAATTTTTCTTGTAGCAAAATGTGAGTATACTATGATAACATGTTTCTCATTGTGGTCCCCAGCCCCCAAAATATATTATTATATATAACTTCATCAGCAAATACCGGGGGTGCCAAAAAAATGTATACACAGGACTTGCATTCACTTTTCATTATCAGTATATATTGAATATTACAATTGTAATACAGTTTTTTCCTTTCTTAAAGTGTGTATACATTTTTTGGCACCCTCTGTAGATTATAATTCCTAAATTTGAAATTTAAATTTGGAACTTTCAGCGGCCTGGAATTATTAAGTTTACTGGTTTGATGTGAATTAGCCACAGGCAGCCATTTTGGTTTGCTCCTCAGAGCTAATGTCCATGCCCCAGACACTATGCTGTGCCGCCTGGGATCTCCCCAAGCAGGATGGTGTTTCCTGACCAAGCCCAGCTTTTCCCGCATCAGGGTCCCTTCTGCCCAGCCAGGCCTCCAGCCCTTCTCCAAATTTCCATGGGAGCTTGGGGTAGGGGGAGGTCCCTCCCCCAAACCTGACTGTTTTCTTCACAGGTAAAGACAAATCCCACCACATCTATGACATTTCCGCCCATGAGGACGAGACCCCTGTGCATAGGAAGAACCCCTCATCAGGACAGAGAGAATCCCAGGTTTCCTGGGTAACTTTGTTGTCATTTTTGTTGTTCTTTTTGAACTTCCTGGCTTGTGTTTATGCACAGTTACTATTTACTTTGAACCTGGACTCACTCATGACTACTGATGCCCCTAACACCTCACCTGTGTGTGTCCTGTCCCCATATTTCCCAATTCAAACCCTGCAGAGAGCGGGAGAAGCTGACTGACCAAGCTGTTCACCTTCACCCCTGTGGGAGACAGCTTTTCGTGCTGATTCATCTCGTGGGGCGTGAACCAGCCTGTGGCTCAGCTCAGTCACCATGGGTCCAATCAGCTGTGGAAAAGGGTATCACACGATACAAAAAGTGCTCCCTAGAGCGCTCTGTCATCAGGAGCTGGGGACAGGGCCATTTCCCTTGGGTAGGTCTGTCTTATTAAAGATCTGACACTCTTGAAATTGCAGAATTGGGAGGATATAAAGTCATCTGGTCCAACCCCCTGTAAGGCTGTAATCAACTTTACAAATGACATTCCTACCGAGAACTCTTCTAGCTCAATGGTACTTAAACTGGAGTGCGCACAAAAGTCACCTGGGCTCCACCCCCTGAGACTTTTAATAGATCTGGTCTGCAGACAGCACTCTGTGTAGCCTCCCTTACTCTTTTTTTTCTTTTTTATTGTTAGTTTCAGGTGTACAGAACAATGCAATAGTTATCCTTTTCACCCTTCACACAGAAACAACCCCCCTGCCCCATCTACTGCCCTACCACCTCCGATATCATACTTATCTATTACAATTCCATTGACTCCATTCCCACACTCTACTCCATGTCCCGTGACTATATGTATATATAATTATAGTTGACACACAATATTATTCAACATCAGCTTCAGATATACAGTGCGGAGGTCAGGCCTCCACACTGACTATGAAGTGGTCTCCCTAACAAGACATGAGTCCATCTGGCCCCCTAAAACATATTTATAACATTATTGATTATATTCCCCAGACTGTCTTTTCTATCCCTGAGGCATATTGTAGTTACCAATTTGTATTGTCTCATCCCTTCCCCTTCTCCTTCATCTCCACCCCCTCCCAACTAGCAACCCTCAGTTTTTCCTCTGTGTCTCTGAGACTATTTCTGTTTACATTTCTCATTTATTCAGTTTTTTAGAATCCACGTATAAGTG